CAGGAGTCCCCATCCAGAAGAAGAAACCATGGTCTCTCATCTCAGGGAATCAGTCCAACCTAATGCCCACCTAGCCAGGGGACTGACTAGTGCCCACCACAGAGCACTTGACCCAGAGGTGTAATGAGGAACACCTACAAGTCTGGTTTGTGCTGAGTGGGGGTAGAGTTGGGAAACTCTTCTGCAGAAAGTGGTTCTTGAGCAAGTTATAAAGAAGAGAAGAGACTAAACTAGTGGAGAAGGCGGACATAACTCAGGCTGTGAGATAAACATGCACGTGATCAGTAAGGAGACATGACTGATTGAGATGGAGGAGTAAATGAAGATAGAAAGGTGGGAGAAGCAGAGAGGGAAAAGCTCCATTAGCCGGAACTTGGGCAGAGTGCTGGGGTTCAACCCAGAAACCAACACTACTTCCTTCATCCAACCCAGAGAAGACCTGCTAGACCTTAAGGCAGGCAGGACAGAAACTGGTCCACAATCCCCCATGTCTCAAAAAGTCCGTTCCCTCCCGAAGCACATCTGTTCCCAAGGAGCCCCCACTAGAGACATAAAATCTCTAGATCCCCAAGGTAAATATCTTGCCATGCCCACCATCATCCCCAGAAATATGAATAGTTTAATTGGGTATGAGACAGAGTATAAGAGGGGGCATGGTGCCAAGTTTCGTTTCATACCAAACAGCTTTAGATAAGGAAAGGAGAAGTAGTTCGACTGAATTTCTAAATTATTTATGAATAAGGTTAGAATGATGTTAAAGTAATTAATTCACTTCAAAATAAACCATTTCACTGTTCTATACTAAATGGAAAGTCAACTTGGTTCAACGATTATTGAGTAATATGATACACGAAGCACACAGACAACAAACACAGAATTTAGTAAAACATAGGTCCCAACCTAAAACTTACTTTATTGTTGGATAGGAAAAGAAATAGGAGTTTTTCTAAGAATCAGAGGGAACCAAGAAAGGATTAAATGTTATTCCCTGTCCTGAAACTTATTCAATCATGTTAGAATCAAGGAATCAAAGAGTCAGAAATATGCTACAGTCTTCCTCCCCAGTCCAGACCAAATCTTCTTTCTACTGATCTTTCTCATTAATTTGGGGACATTATCAGTAATATGAGTAATTATTAGTGAGTAAGAAGTAGTCGAAAATAAGGCCATTTTTTTTATTGCTGTCACCCGCCAATGCAGTGAGGTGTCAGAAAGAGTATATTGCCCTTTCTGATGCCATAATCTCCCAGAATCTTCCCATCTTCCAATCTTTTTCCATTGCAAGTCACAATCTGCTTCTTAGGAATTATAGCGGTCTTCTCCTTAATCATCTCCTTCACCTGGGCCACTGAGCTGGACCTCCGCACCTGGAGGAGGTGCCTCTGCCCCTCAGCACCTGACTCCACCAAAACCACGGGCAGCTCCTCATCACTGGGCTTCACCACCTTCAGGGTGAGGTGGATAGTCGTCTCCTTGTCGATACCATAAGATGACAGGGTTCTCTGGGGCTTTAGGGTCTTGGAGCCCAGCTGGAGGACCTGCTCCTGCACGGGAATCTTGGTCTTAGACCGGACATGTTCTTTGATCTTCTTCACTCTGTCTTCCAAGTTGGCATTGAAGGTCATTGAATTCCATTGCTCAGAATGGACCACCTGGACAATGAAAGCCAAGAGACAGTTGCTTAGAATGCCTGTCACCTTTTACACCCTTTGTTCCCCCTCCTTAATTGCTCCCATCCTTCACTGCCTATCTGGTCCTCCAGATCCTTTAAGACAAGCTGTGTCCCTCTCTTTTTTGAAACGTCTCTTTTGAAATTTCCAGGTTATAATGCAAGAAAACCAGTCGTATTCCTTTGTAACCATACCTCTTATCCATCCCAAAATGTTATTAATAATTTCCCACCTTATTTACCTGTCTCCTCTGCAGATAAAGTTTGTCAAATGTCAAAAACTAAATACAACTACAAAGCATCCAAAGATGTACACCAGATTCGAAAAACAACTCTCCAAGAGAATATCCAAGACTTGGTAGCCTAGTGAAATACCCACAGGGCTGTCCTCCATGCCTGCTTTAGAAGGAAACTCTGTTTCGGACACATATTCTCTGTACTGTTAATTTCTTTTTTAATATCTCATTCCTTTATAAGAGGAACTAATGCATTATAGTGATGCTATGTTCAATATCACCTGTCCATCTATATTTCCTATATTTTTATATCTACCTGTTAAAGAATATGACCTCCTCCTTTAATCAGGTCAGGGCCCTATTCACGGAAAGTAGGGACTACATCTAAGTCTTCCTTCAATATTCTGAAAATGGGGAAGCTAACTCCTGTGCTGTCATCTGAAAGCCTCAGAGGACCTCTTTCAGGCTTCATTCAAAAATATCTTCCCAATCTAGATGCCACCAACATTCCTTCACTGGATGGTCACTTCTCTTTGCTAAGCCTTGCCCTCATTCCACGTTCTCTCTGCACAGCATATGTTCTTACATAAGGTAATGTAACAGGTCATTAACAATTTAGGATAAATGAATTTTATGAACCTCTCTTTGGGGAAGAGAAGGAAGCTTAAGTTTGAGAGCCCTGGACCCCTAGACAGGATAAGGGGGAAAGAGATCAGGACAATATTATCATAGTTTCAAATCTCACCATCTTGCTAAGCACAGAGTCCACTCCCACTTCCTATCATTTGTCCCTAACAGTGGTCAGTCCAAGATTTCACACAAAAGAGAAATCAGGAACCAAACGACCTGAAATCAGGAACCAAATGACCTGGTTCTCTTCACAGAAACTTTCTTCACATTTAGTATCTATCTGTCTATGCTTATGTCTCATCCCCTTTGAGACGCCCTCCCAGCCACCCTACCTTCTTGAGCACTGTCCTTCGTCCCTTCCTGACATCTCTTCCCATACCTTGGAAGCCCATTCCCTTCCTCCACCCCCCATCATCAGTCCCAACTCACACAGAGGCAGGAAGCCATCTCTGCGAACAAAGGAGCAGAATCAGGAGACAGAAAGGGATCTGGAATGCAGTTTATATAAGCAGCTAAACTGGAAAACCCCAGCCTGCTGACTATGGTAAGATTTCCTGTGCCCTTTGTTTTTATATAAGCTGGTGAATTTTCTTTCACTTTTGCTATTGTGTTGTCAAAAACAAAAATATCTTCTGATCAAGCACTTCTCCCCTCAGCCAATCCATTTGCCCTCCTTGTTTCTAATATGGGATGGTTCGTCTCTGTTGAAAAATTTCCTGTGATTAACAAACCACCACTCCCAGTCCTGACATGACTTTGCAGACTGTAGTCCTGAACCCTCACTGACCTGAAGACCTTTAACACTTTGTGGTCCTCCCCTGCTGCTTTTAAGAGCTGTCCATTAGTCAGGGAGCTTCCTGAGAGCAAAGACGCCCAGGAAAGGACAGTGAGAGTTGGGATGGAGTGATGTGACCAGGAGCAGCCTGTGCACACTCGCCTGGTAGAATGTGTGAAGCAGGCCTTGAGAAAACATAGGATAAATAACCCTGGACTGAGAAGAGACATGAGTTCCAGCCCCAGGGATGCCACTTGCTAAATTAACTTGAGCAAGTCTGTTCACCTTGTGAAATGTTGATCTTCTGGTCTATAAAATGATGATTGAAGAGAATTCCTAAGTGTCCTCTAGGCCCAGAAAACTTTGTTCTTAAAATGTCCTTGACAAAGAACTTTAGATTCCTGGGTCTTGAGCTTTCTAACACTCTTCCTATCCTGTATGAGGACCTGCAAACTAAATCCACTACTTGAGAACAATCCAGTGTCGACAATCGACTACTGACTTCTGGGCATCAGAACAATCACACATCCACTTTCACACCAGAGTCCCTCTATTTCCTTACCTTTACTCCTGGAGACTCACTGCTGTGATCGCAGAGATGCCTAAGGTGCTGTGTACTCCCTGGCTTTTGAGATTTGAATTGGGACAAAAAAAAGAGGACATAAGCTGTGTGTGCTCAGGGAATTGACTTGATTACCCTGATCTCCTAGCATTCCAAATTAATCGCTGCCCTCTCCCAAAGTCTCAGGACACTGCCATAAAACCCACTTTTTAAAAAGCATTTATTAAAAGTGCTCCAAATGTTTTCGAAGTAGTAAGTCTGTAAAAATACCAGCTCATCATCTCTGTTTGCTGTGCTTTCAGTGGCCGTTTACTGTACCTTCACTCACTGATAAATTTCACACGATCACTTTTTACTTCAGAGGTTTCCACCCTGGAGAACTAGGTTATATAGAAGTGCTTCCTTAGAGTAATGGGATCCAAGAGCTCATTCCAATATTTCAACAAGCTTAACATAAATCACATTCTCCTATTTGAAGCTCTTATTAGACAGTTAATAAAATTGGAACAACTTTTCTTTAAACATAGTTCTTGAGGTAGACATACTTTTTTTTTAAACACATAGAATGACTATGAAGGGGGACGAATGCCTGATAGAATCGACTGGAAGCTTTGACCCTGCTCTTCTCCCTTCAGATATATCTCCAGGTTCCAATTGTCCCTGTGTTTTGAACAAAAGATTGTGACCTTTGGCCGCTGCACAGCAGAAAAGGGCTGTGTCCACTGTCCAATAGGATTTGGAGACTCTGAAACATCACCAGTGGCCAGGCAGAAAATGTCAGATCAGGTTGAGAGTGATATGGAAAGAGAAAGCCCTGCAGTAGGGTGCGGTGAGGGGTGGGTCTGGAACAAGAAAGAAAAAGCTGAACAACGCAGACTTGAGTAAACTGCTTTCAGCTTTCAAGTTGTATTTGCACGCATCAGTTTCTTAGATCTCCACATTATTTCTGGAAAGAGAAGAGGGACAGTAGATGGTTAAAGCTGCTTAAAATTAATCACCTTTTCTCTGTTTACCCCTCTGGCCTCTGCATCCTACACCATCTTGGTGCCGATGTCTGCATTCTCAGGGGAGCCCGAGGAATGACACTTCCCTGGGATGATATTTTTCTGCTGATTCCCCTCAGATCTATACCCACAGCCGGCCCCGAGCTGCAGACCTGTATGTCTACCTGCTTTTATGTGCGGTTCCCTAAACTCCCTGCGTGTCCTTGAACATGCCAAACTCTCTGCCACCAGGTCACTGATCATGCCTTTCCATCCCATTCTACTCCCCAACACCATGGATTTGTAAGAATATACAACACAAGTGACATCTCCTCCGGGAAGACTTCCCTAACTCTCTTGCTTCCTATTCTGGGTTATTTGCCCATCTTCTGTCCTTTTATACTCCCTCAGCAAGCCTCTCAGAGCATGTGTCTCCAACAGTAAGGCCATCTGCTTACTTGTCCTTCACCCCCAGTACACAGCAGGAATCTTGAGAGTCATGGTTGTGTCTTAACTTGTATCTTCAGCACTTCCCAGGCATGCTGTCTGGCACAGCACATCCTTACTAAATGTTTACCAAATGCATGAGTGAATCAATAAATCAATGAATAAGTAAGCGAATAAAAATAGGAAAATAACATGTGGTGAGCACTTACTATATTTGAGGAACCGCACAAGGTATTATTAAATGGTACCCCATTAAGTATTTGAGCATTCTAATGTGGTAAGGTCGGTATCCTAGTTCATAAACAAGAGGCCACCTCATCCATAATCATATTAGTAGTAGCTGGTAAGCAAGCGTTCAAATGCAAACCTCTGTTTCTACACTCCTTGTCTTCTTATATTGTGCTTCAGTGGAATGAAAATCGAGGCGGGGGTGGCGCAAGTGCATGCTTTTTTATTACAGGAAAGGTACAAGTTGGGGGAAGAAAGAGAGAAAGGGAAGCAGAGGAGCCTCAGAATGAGTGAGTGAGAGCAAGCAGAGCTTGGGGATCTACGTGCAGGCAGGAGCATCTTGGGTAGCACGCCCAGCCTGATGCTTCCCCACTTGGCTTACATGCAGGAGTCAAAGTCTGGAGGCCACCTGCCTGGTGCAAAGGTGGAGGAGAACTGCCCTCCCGGGCCTGTGGGTGTTGAAAGACAACAGGGTGAAGCAATCCACGTGGCAGTAAACAGAGGAGCTGGGGCTTTCCAGCCTAGAATTACTAGAGGGCGAGCCTGGAATTTTCCCAAGGAAAACTAGTCCACGGGATTCTCTCCCCATAGAGGATCTGGATTCTGAGAAACAGTGTCCTTTCAAGGAACGAGGATAACAAATTTAGACTCTGTTCTCTGTCTCTCTCTTCCCTCTTCCCTTCCTGTGTGAAATTCCCTCCTGGCCTAAGGCCAAGGCGAGGGCTGTCCCAAACACCCCATGCCTGTTTGCTGACCTCAGGTAAAATTTCTTCTTGGAAACTGACCTCTTCCTTGCTTCTTACCACAGTGTCCATCTGACTTATTTTTTTCCTCTGTGTCACAACAAACTTTTTTAGAGGCAAAAAGATTTCATTGCATTTGCCCCTATGACAAATTCAGAAAACCAGCCAAGGTCAGAGATCATGCTGTGGAGATTTTGGCAGGTTATAAGACAACTGCCTCAGATATCCACAACCTCCCAGCTGATGGGGTGCGCTAGGGCGAGTCACTGCCCCCACTGAGGCCTCCCTGGGGCAGAAGCCTCGTCCCCATGAATGAGTTTGTAAAACTGCTTTGAGATCAGGAGTATTGCTTCAGAAATGCCCATCAAATGCAATGAAATAGCCACTATGAATTCCCATTTATTGATGGTTGGGATGAAAGTTTGTCCACTCTCAAAGAAGGACAATTTGGAAA